TTGCTGAGGAAGACTGGCCCTGGGCTAACATCCGTGCCCATCTTCCTCTACTTTATATGGGACGCCGCCACAGCATGGCTTGACAAGCAGTGTGTCAGTGCGCACCCAGGATCTGAATTGGCGAACCCCGGGCCGCCGCAGGGGAGCACGCAGACTTAACCGCTTGCGCCACCGGGCCGGCCCCCCTATATTCTGTATTTTAAGGAACGATTATTAAAGCATTATCCAATAACAGCAACTGTATTCTAGGATAGAATGGAATCTCCTCGATTATAACAAATCTCACTACTCTCCAGATCAAGGTTACCATGGGGTCAGGAAATGTTCTCTGAAAAGGTCTGCATGTGCTTGGTACAATGTTATTTTAAAACAACGTTAATTCTATTCCAACCTTAATTTTAAAAAGGGTTCTAACTTATTTTTATTTTGCAACTGTGACGGAGTCCAACAGAATGTCTTCATTGGACAAACTTAAATTGACGTTTGCTTATTTATTTAAACCATTGTCCTCCTGGTTTCACGGTCACGCAGAACTGCATTTTCACACAAAAACCGGGAATTCTTCCCAGCTGAGCCAATCTCGAGGCACCCAGTGCCCAAGGTAAATACTCTCTCCCTGGAATTACCGCAGCGGGGCCCAGCGGGGCTCTGGGCTGGTCCCTTCATCTCCGAGATGGTCAAACAGGCCAGGAGAGGTTACCTGGTGTGCCCAGGCCCCAGAGCCTGGTGGCGGCGGGGCTGAGCCTCACTCAGGGCCCCGATCTTGTTACAAACCACTTAAAATAACACCCAGACTCCACACTGCCAAAAAGAGATTTTAGAACTCAGTTTCCAAAGAATGCCTATGCCCTGACACTGAGAATTACAGTGAGCAATACCTCATATTGGATGGCGGCAGGTGTACTGGAAAGGTGCAGCCTGAGCAAGTTTAGGCTTAGCCTTAGCTAAAAAAAACAAGAAAAACCACGATCTGTTACAGCTTCTGAACCCACAGATGAGAAATACAAATAAGGAAGCAGACTAAAGCAGGGCTGGAGTCCATTGATAGTGTTTGGCACCAGCGCCCAGTTCTTCAAGATCCCAGTGTCACATGCTCTCTCTCCCCTCCTCCTATCTCCGGTTCTTCTCTGCTCTCTTTACTTATTCTCCTTTTGTGACCCAGATCTACTTTTGTTTCCTCTCTTCTGATGTCCATTCCTGTAACAACTACTACTCAGGAACAATGACGGCAACTCTAGATTCTGAGGAATTCAGTGGTTTCAGAGTTCATTTCATCTGTAAAGTTCTTCTCACCCTCAAATCTGCCAATGCCATTCCAAGTTTTCCTTGTTCTATGCTCTGTTTCATGCCAAAAAAGCAGATGCCTCCTGTAAGTGCTGGAATACCATGAGTAAGAACAGGGCAGGTACAGTGCCTTTGGGAGTAGAGCATTAGGTCATAAAGTATTTTCCCCCACCTCTGCAGTGACTCAGATCAAGCCAAAAAGATTAATATGCGAAGGAGCCCCGCCAGCATCCGGCTGTTCTAGCCCCACCCACCCGTAAGGCTCTCGAACCTCATTTGCTGCCGTCGCCACAGTGTCATTTGATGATCAGGTTGCCATGACAGCCCAGTGTAGCCGGTTTCCAGTGAAACCTGCCTACACTTGGCAATTAGACACACAATGAGCAAAATTCGCTGAGCTTCTGAGACAGCCTCTCAGGATTTGAGGCTTGAATGCCGCTGAGGGCACCTCCCACTCCAGAGGAATGGCTTTCTTCTCCAACTGCGGGTCAACTCTAAGACAAAGATAAAGGGAAAAACTGGAGCAGTTTCTAGAATAAAAGGCTGTAGGAACCTGACTCACCAGCAGACATATTTAAACAGGGGAAGTGAGAGAAAATAAAGTCGTGCTGATTGGAAACCAAGAAGCCTGAGAACCAAAGTGAACTTCTCTAGGTTTCCAGAACGTTTTGGAAGCTTCTTCCTGAGAGAACTGGAGAGGCCAGGCCCCATCGGCCAGTGATCACAAACCCAAACCCTACCTTCAAAGTAGCTGCCCTGGAAAAGGACACTAACGATCCCAATTCTCAGTTTATCTGCTTCTGAAGAGTCCACACTGCCCAGATGTGCTTTCTTTCTTGTTTCAAACCAAATCGGCTGATCCAGCTCCCTCTGGGGGCTCCCCTCTCCCTGAGCCAGCTGATCTGTCTCTCTTTTGGGGAAAAGTGCCCCTGGAAGGGTGGGTCTCAGGATCAGCCCCCACCGCTCGCTCCTGATTCTGCAGGCCAAGAACTAAGCCGTTTGGAACTGCTGCGTGGCCATCCTGGGAGGAGGGCTGGTGAGAGGTGTCGCTGTGAGTCTGGGAAATGGAGCAGTTAATTATTAAAGTCAAAAAGTAGGTGAATTTAAAAGGGAGCCAGCCAATCCCTTAATCCCTTGGCTATAAGGCAAGCAGGTCTGTAGATAAAAGTTCCTCACAAAAGATAGCACAACCACCATTTCTGAGCTCGTCTAAAATGATCTAAAAGTAGAAAGTGACCCCTCTTGAGGCATATCTCAGGCATAATACAGACTCTGAGACCCCTGCCGACCGGGAGGAGCCCAGCACAGACTAAGGATTCTCAACTCCTCAACGTTTCAACTTACAAGACTGCAAAAGTTGTTGCATCAGAAGTCCCCCCCATTTAGCAAACGAATAATGAACATTTATTTCTTAACTGTAGCAATTCAATTCAGCGAACATTTTTTGGGACTCTACAATGTGCCAGACACAGGGCAGAATCTCCTTCCCTTCTCCAGTTGATTTTTCTCCTGAGAAAGAAGATTCAAAATAACCGAAGCTCAGGAGGTGAACAAGGTCACTCCTACGCAGGCAGCAGAAATCGCTGCCACACGGCACTTTCTGTTCTAATCCCGAGAACTCAGCTGGTCCTGTTAAGAGCTGCCTTCTTAATGGAAAGCGAGGCAATCAGGGCAAAGTTCCAGACAGATTAGGGGTGACACCTCAGCTCTACCCCTCAACGATTTAATGCTGGGCAAATCACTTAGCCTTCCTGTACCTCAGTTTCCTCATCTACGAAATGGGGGTATTACATGGACAGAAGGCCCTGGCACTCAGCAGACCCACAGACCTGAGAGGGGCTCCAACCTCTCCTCTCACCACCCCCCCTTCCCCCCAGACCCAAAGGCAAGGCGGGTCCTCTGCAGCTGGGCAAGGGGCCTGACCTTCGGGCTGCCGGACAGGCTGGCCCTCCCAGCTCCAGGCAGTTGGGTTCAACTCTGGAAGGTCACTCTGTTGCCCACTTAGCTTGGTCCTCCCTGCATTGTTCAGATACACTAAGACATAAGACACACTGTAATCGTTTATCCCCTCCTTTCAAATGGCTTTCTGGGGCCAAATTGACAAATCCTAGGGTAAACCTTCTATTGCATCAACCTTTCCGCCCCAAATGGCCACACTGAAGTGGTCCTAATAGGGTAATAAAGCTTTTTACAGTGGCCACAGAAAGATTGTGGACTGAAGATTTGGGCTTCTTCATTGTCTAACATTTCTCCTTGGCCCCCAAGACCAAAATGATTGATTTATAAGTCCTCTCTTCCTCCCCACACTCCAGTTTTTTCCAGGAAAATGATCCCAGACCAGCCCCTAAACCAGGTGTTCCTCTTGAGGTTGCCATTACCTTAGGAAACTGCTCTGCAGGTCCGACCACCAGCAAAATGGTGGGTCTCTTTTCCGTGGCCTCAGCCCTTCCGTCCTGTTTCCCCAAAAAGCTTGACATCTGGTCTCCCCGAGCAGGAGCTGGGGTGCCTCTGACTTCCTTATCGGTGCCCTCTCTGGAGCCTTGGCACCCAGCACTGGGGAGAAAGCTAGGCAGAAAATGCCACAGCATCTGCAACATCACGGCTTCCTCCGAACGTCGCGACGGGGACTTTGGAGGAGGGATGTGACCACAATACCAAGGGTCGCTGGCTACACAGCTGCTTGGAAGACTAGCCTGGGGGTTGTAAGGCTGGAACTCTGCATGCAGTGGCTGTCTCTTGCTTTTTCAAATTGGCTAGCACTGCTGTCGTGCCTGGCCTGAGAAGTAGCTCACGCTAAGAGAGCCCCACCGCGTTGCTGGCAATGAGACAGAGGCTGGAGCTTCTTCAACACAAACTCACTTCTGCAGGTGGACGGTGACCAAATGCTTGGCTTTTTTAAAAAACGAAAAAGCAATAGCCCGACAGACCTCTCCTGAAAGCAGAAGCAACTTCGAGCTCCCAATTATTCAGCTGTCCTCGCTCAACTAATGGTCATCACAGCAGCGAGGACCCGAGCATCCAGGCTGCAATCTCACTGCAGCAGGGCGCGGCCAATCACCTCTGCCGACACTACCAAGTTCATTATCCCAACCGGCAACATCCCTCCAATCACAGGCGGCCGATTCCCTGCATGCAGCCCGGCAGTTCTGCAGGGAGGCGCAGCCTCCAGATGAGCTTTCAGTCTCACAGAACCCACCCTGAGCTGGCTTGTCCACAGGAGCCCAACTTCCTCCTCTCCACTTGTCTTGTGTCCGGGCTGACATTCACTATCAAGTTTAACATGATTAAGAGACCCTGGAAACACTTCCTAAGACACCTAGCAACACTTTTCCTTGTTCCATTATGCCATTCTCTCCAACGGTGCATAACACAAGGCACGCCATATCATAGCTTCTCCTCTCGTGTCTCCCTCTACACGATGAGCTGCCTGAGGACAGGGACCAAGTCACAGGTCTTTCCAGCCCTAGGACCCAGGAGAAGCACAGATGAAGTCTGCAGACTCAACTGAGTAATGATGATGAACAAATGGGGCTTACGCTTTGGTCCTCTATTTCTCAATTTACTAGCAGACAAATGTAGTCACCAACTACTGTCATCTCCCCCAAAGGTGACTCTTTGATACAGTGTTCATACTGTTATTTTAAAAACACAAGCATGAAAAAAGTTTAATGAACTGTGTTGGGGAGAGTGTGGGGAGACACACACCCTCATGCACTGCCATGAAAGTGTAAATCAGTACAGCCTCTCTGAGGAGCAATTTAGTCACAGCCACCGACATTTCCAAAGCACAAGCCCTTGGACATGGCACTGCCACTTCCAGCAATTTATCCTGCAGATATATTTGCACACGTGGGAGATCACAGATACATACTTACGATATGTATGTGATACGATATGTGATAAAATATAAGGATATTTCTTGCAGCCTTGTTTAAATAGCACAAGTTTGGAAACAACTTAAAGTCCTTTAAAAGGGGAGTGGGTTCATAAAGTATGGCATACCCATGCAATGGACCCTGTGCAGTTGTTAAAAAGAATAAGGCAGCTCTATACATACTATTACGGAATGACTTGAAAATCTCTCTCTCTCTTTTTTTTTTTTGGTGAGGAAGATTGTCCCTGAGCTAACCTCTGTGGCAATCTTTCTCTATTTTGTATATGGGATGCCACCACAGCATGGCTTGATGAGCAGTGTGTAGGTCCACACCCTGGATCCGAACCTGCAAACCCCGAGGTGCCGAAGTGAACTTAACCACTACGCCACCGGGCCGGCCCTGCAACTAAGTAGTTTTAATACTACAGAAAAGCCAGTCCAGAGCCGTAAGCCCTAAGTAAATACGTAATCCTTTCATGAAAATGAATCTGGCTTTTAGGCCCTGAAAGTCTGGTGAAATGGGGAAGATGGTGATGTTTTGGGCCCCCATCTACAAACATAAGAGAAATCTCTTATGTAATTGGTTACTGGCTTTTAATTTAATGGACTCCTACATACAACAGAACTGAGTTATGAACTCAGGGGTTCCGGCCAAGATGGGAGTAGCAGGGACCAATTCACCTTCCTGCCAAGAACAATTAAACATCCGGGTAAAATATGTGAAATGATGGTTTTCAAGATACTGGACATCAGGCAACAAAGGAGAGTGACTCTTGAGAGAGCTAGACAAGTGACGCGAGCCCCACGACTGCCCCAGCTTCCCGGCTAGAGCTTCCAGGGTACGGTGCAGAGGGTGGGTACTCAGGCAGAGCCCAGCAGTCTCCCCATGTTGAAGACATGGAGCTTGGAGTCCAGGAAAGTCCGGGCAGCTAGAGTTTGCAGGACAGAGCACCAGAGAGGAGGGAGCTGCACAGCACAGAGTCACAGCACAGGCGTGTGAGGAGACGGCCTGAGGGGGGGAAAGAACCATCCAGAGGCACCACAGCCCTAAGACCAGTTCCTGTTTCCACCAGCCAGAGTGGAAAACCTCATAATAGAGGGAGGTTCAGGAAGGGTACTCAGAGGGTTTTGCCTCAATAGTGGGGCAAAACTAGCCTTTGACTAAATGCTGTTCTCGCCCTGCTTAACAAAGCTTTAAAAAGCAAGCCCTGAAAAGGTCAAACTGTTTCCAAATAATTTAACTGCATCCCAGAATAAAGCTCAAGAACATTTATAGGAAAACAAAAATATCCAGGAACCAACAAGATAAGATCCAATAAAAAATTAACAGAAATGCAAAGAAGCAGGAAAAGACCTATAATGAGGATAGAAATCAATCAATTGAAACAGACTCAGAAAAGACATATATGATAGAATTAGTATACAAGGATATTAAAAGTCATAATTGTATTCCAGATGCTCAAGAAGCTAACGGAAAGATCAAGTATGTTAAATAGAGAGAGTACAGACCCTCTAGATGAAAACTACAATGTCTGAATGAAAAATATACTGGATGGTTTTAACAGCAGTTTAGACAATGTAGAAGAAAAGATTAATGAACTTGAAGACAGCAATAGAAACTTTCTAAAATGAAACACAGAGAAAAAACAAAACAAATAAATGAGCAGAGCATCAGAGAGCTGTGAGAGAACTGCTAATAGGCTAATATATACATAACTGGAGTCCATGAAGGTGGGGACAGAAAAAATATTTAAAGAAATAATGGCAGATTTTTCCCCAAATTTATTGAAAACTACAAATCCACAGATCCAAGAAGCTCAACTAACCCCAAGCATAAGAAACATTAAAAAAAAAAAAAAAAAACCCTACACTCAAGCACATCACATTAAATTTCTGAAAACCAGCGATAAAGAGGAAAATCTTAAAAGTAACTATAGAAAAAAAAGACCCATTACACACAGAGGAACAAAGATAAGAATGACAGGGGATTTCTGGTCAGAAACTGCTAACCCAGAATTCTACACCCAGAAAAACACCTTCCAAAAGGAAGGCAAAATAAAGACTTTTCAGACATAGAAGAGCTGAAAGAATTTATCACCAGCAGATCTGCATTATAAGAAATGTTAAAGGAATCCTTCAGGGAGAAGGAAAATGGTACCAGAGGAAGATCTGAATCTAAACAAAGGAATGAAGAACACCAGAAATGCTAACTGTGTGGGTAAATATAAAGGACTTTTTTCTTATTATTTAGGTCTCTTTGTAAGTGAGCATAAGTGAGGCCATCTTGTTACACTAAATGGCCCCAGCCCCTCCTCTGTGTGACTATTCGCTGCTCTGCACGTACTCTAAAAAATTCACATGCTCTCCTGACTTATGGCCTCCGCTTACATAAGTACTCCCCTAGAGCCTGATAAATTAACAACTTTGTTCTATGAGTTTCTCTCCAGGAACAGGCTGACCACAGGTGGGAAACACACCTACAAGGTATCCATCACAGCTGACAGAAGAATGGAACACTGTGATGCCTGGAGCCTGTCATGCCTGGAGACCAACATCCCTGGACGCCCTCCTCACTGCCCATTTTCCCTATATAACTGCCTCAAGATTCTGTAATCTTTGAAGATGGGTTTTTGAGACATTAATCTGCCATCTTCCAGATTATGCTGGCTAAATTGTATTAAAACTTCCTTTCTCGATCCGTAACTCATTGTGATTAACTGGCTCGGATCACTGTAAGCAGAGTAAGCCCATTCCTTGGTAACATCTTTAAAAGATAAGTGACTATTTAAAGCAAAAATAAAATGATAAATTGTGAGTTTGAAGCCAGGTACCTGAGGGTTACTGTAAATATACAATAAGATTACCTTTGGGCTAGCCCCATGGCATAGCGGTTAAGTGTGTGCGTTCCGCTGCTGGTGGCCCCGGCTCGGATCCTGGGTGCACACCTACGCACCGCTTGTCAAGCCATGCTGTGGCGGCGTCCCATATAAAGTGGAGGAAGATGGGCATAGATGTTAGCCCAGGGCCAGTCTTCCTCAGCAAAAAGAGGAAGATTGGCACAGATGTTAGCTCAGGAGTGATCTTTGCTGTTTTCCTGTATAACCTGAGGGGTAACAAGGATTTATGAGCTTGTTTTATAGAAAAAAGAGAAAGCCTTCAAGGATCACCAGATAACCAGCCCCCAGTTGCCACTGATGCCCAGAAGTCAGATTCCCTGGGGGCTTATCAGGAGTGAGAGAAACAAGGCTTACCCCTTTGTTTCTCCGAAACTCCTCCTGCCACACTCCTTAGCTCTATAAGACCCCCTGCTTTCTTCTCCTGTTAAGGTAGATTTGAGAGCCCATGCTCCTACCTTCTCATTTTGGCCCATTCAAATAAACCTTTCTCAGGGCTGCCCCAGTGGTGCAGTGGTTAAGTGCTCGTGCTCCGCTGCAGCGGCCCGGGGTTTGCAGGTTCGGATCCTGGGTGCGCACCGACGCACTGCTTGTCAAGTCATACTGGGGCGGCGTCCCATATAAAGTAGAGGAAGGTGGGCATGGATGTTATCCCAGGGCCAATCTTCCTCAGCAAAAAGGAGGAGGATTGGCATCAGATGTTAGCTCAGGGCTAGTCTTCCTCACACACACACACAAAAACAAATAAGCCTTTCTCCATCTCTAAGTACTGATGTCTCAGTGATTGGCTTATTGTGAGCGGGCACATGAATTTGAGATTAAGAGGTTTGGTATCAGGTTTATAACATACATAGAAGTAAAAATATATGAGAACCACAGCACAAAGGCTGGGAGGAGAGAAAAGAAAGTTGTGATATTGTGATTTATAAGAAATATATATTTGGGGCCGGCCCTGTGGCTTGGTGGTTAAGTGCGCGCGCTGTGATGCTGGTGGCCTGGGTTCGGATCCCGGGTGCGCATCCAGGCACCACTTCTCCGTTCATCCTGAGGCCGAGTCCCGCATACAGCAACTAGAAGGATGTGCAGCTACGACATACAACTTTCCACTGGGGCTTTGGGGGGAAAAAAATAAAATAAATAAAATCTTTAAA